GCGTTCAACTTGAAGCTTTCGGTCGATTGTGGAAGAAACACTGGATGTGCAACGGCATCTTGAATAATCTTGCAGGAGCGATTATACAGGAAACTAGCCAGCTGCATTCTGACTGGTTTGACGAACATCACGAGTGCCGAGAGCATCGTGTAAAGCTATTGCACTTCTTGATTAAAGTGAAGTTGTTCGCACAAACAAAGTTCAATAATCGAGCAGACCGTGTAAAAAGAACAGGTAATATTGATTATAAATGCAAAAAATTAAACAAAATTAAAGGTATTTGATTTATCGTTCCTGACTCTTGTCAGAGACTCTCTGAGTTGCGATATGATCAAGCCTAATTCACGAACTCGTTCCTGGGCATTAATACCAGAGGCTTTTTAAGCTGCGACTCGTGTGTTTCTATCTAATTATTAGTAATAAAATAATGGAACGTACCCTGACTTCTGTCAGAGGCTCTTTTAGCTGCGTTCCAATGTAGATTTGTTCACGAAGTCGTTCCCCGGGATCTCTCGGAGGCTTTTCAAGCTGCGCTTCGTTCATTTATTATGTTTACTAGATATGGGGGGTGATGTTGATTGCCTTCTCGTGGTGCCCCCCGAAAACGAGTGCACTTATTATATTCATCAAACATATAGACGGGCATTGTAAGCTTTACCGCATTATCAATTGCAAAATTAGTGTAACCATCATAATGTCTACTGTTCAATGAAGATCGGTGCACTCGGCTAAACAATCAACACAAATTATTACTACTTTGGTGTATATTTGTAGAAATACAATAAAGCTAATATTTGTAAGTTTTGTATGAACGAATAGGAATTTTATACATGAAAGCTGACTCGATCTTCCATCATGTGCACCCCCATTCGATCGATGCAACGCCGGATCATCAAGGAGTAATGCCACTTTAGCAGCTCAAAAAAATATATAAAATTAGGAACAACTATTATCAGAAAATATCATGTGCAATATAAAGTCTGTTAAGATGAATTTATTGTGCATGATTTTAAGAGTATACACAAATTTTTTATTTGATTTTTTTTCGAAATAGTGGCATACCCAACAAACCCTCTTGTTCAAAACAGTGTTCTCCGGCCAGACAAATCACTCCTTGGAAGCTTAACCCGAAACAAAAAACCATATATTTTTCAATTATGTATAAGAATAGCTAGAGAAATACGTAGGGAAATTAAAAAAGTACGTCTAAAATCAAAGTTCTGATTAGACCTTCTGCAGCTATTCTTATATAGAATTGAAAATTATTTGGATTTTTGTTTCAGGTCAAACCTCCAAAAAGTAATTCGTTCAGCCGCAGAACACTGTTATGAACAAAAGGTTTTGTTGGATAAAATGCGAAGTCACCATTTTGAAAAAAAAATTGTAGTATACTCTTAAAATCATGTACACTGAGCGTCATTAATAGGTCCATCTTTTAGTGCAGTGAGGTAAGAGAGGAGACTGGGCGGTGCCTGCTCACGTACCTCTGCCTGTGCGTGCAACGCAGAGAGCACTACGGTGCGAGCGAGATGCCAGAGCGTCGCTCGGTGCATCCTTGTTGCACAGCACGAGTGTAAGCGAGACGGCAATGCGGCCCCTCACTCGCAATAGGGAGCTTGGTGGGGCATCTTCTCCTACGTTGTCGACCAGGCTAGCTAGCGCCAATGTTTTCATTTCATTTTTTGTTTAAACGTGTCGTGGTCTGATTAAAAAAAAATTTGATAACGCTCGCACGTATGGCAGGCTGTTTCACTTTTTGATAGTTTAAATATTATTCAGCCGAATAGAAAAGGAGTAAAAA